CCACTTTGAGTGGCCTCTTTTTCTCCATCCCGTGAGTATCTCATGCAAGCTGCTAGATTTCTTACAAATAGCTAGAAGGGAAAATAGTGATAGTGAAGAGGCAGGGAAGCGGAGAGAGAGGATCAGGAAGGGGAAGAAGGATATATAGTCAGAAGCATAGAGATCTAGAGTGGCTGATGCATTTAGGAACCGGTGGGTAATGCTAGTGACATTTGATGGTGTCTGTGGTGTGTTTCTAGCCTAGATATTTAAAACTGTCCTTAAGGAGTGTGAGTCCTACCTCAGGCAGGCCAGGCCTCATGGGGCACTCTGGGTTGCCCCAGACTAGAACTGAGTCTGGCTCTGTTTTCAGCTGCCGAGCCCTGGCCCAGAGTGGAGAATGGGCCCTTCCAGTGGCCACTGGGCTCCTCTGTCTCCTCAGTTTCTACAGCCTCATTTGCATGAACATATCAGACCCAGGCATCTTGCACAGAGGTAAGGCCTCAGAACCTGGAGAAGGAGATGGCAGCCCAAGGGCTGAGGCCTATAGGGGTGATTTCTAAAGTGCTCACCCCACCTAGGGCCTCAGAATCCCTTCTCTCAATGTCATCCTTAATTAGGCACTGGCAATTTATTTCCCAAGCCACTGAGGTGTGATAAAACAGAATCCTGGAGGTTTTCCAGGTGCTTTAGAAGCAAAGACCAAGGAGGCTGCCAAGAGAAGCCAGCAGGTTCTTCCAAACCACGCAGTTGACTCTTCCTCCTTCACATTTCACACATGACTCCAAGCACTGATCACTATTACAAAGGGTGGATCTCCATAGAGAGCTCTTCTGGCTGGAAACTCCCTTCTCTCTGACTGCCAGTCCAATAGGGACTGGGATTCGCCTGCCCACCTCCTTCCCACTCTCTGGTTGTCTAGTGATGCTATGGGGCTGCCCCAAGCAGCAGAGTGCTCCAAGGGCCTCCTGCCACTACCCAAACTTCTTCCCATGCCAGGCTCTGTCGAGCAGAACCCAGAGGCACCCTATGTGGCACACGTGAACAACAAATGTTTCCCAATGCCATGGTGTGCCAAATGTCATCTCCACCGCCCGCCCCGAACACACCACTGTGAAACCTGCAACATCTGTGTGGAGGTGAGTACTCGTCCTCCCAGTCCACTCACCAACCCATCCCCAGGCACCTGGCCAGGATCAAGAACCACCCATTATAAGGGGACCAGGGTTCGGTATGAGATCATCTCCCCACACTCATAAAAGTAGCTCTTACACATTGTTGGTAACTTACATATGTCATTGGCTCTGTGTCTGCACCTGTCCTGAGAGGCTGGCCTTGCTTGCACAGGAGCTGACATGCAAAGGGCATCCCATCCATGGTGACCAGGTGGAGTCAGGGGGAGGAAAGGCAATGACTGACCCACCACCTGGCTTGCTGATACTATATACCCAGACCTTTAGGCCGGCTGCTGCCCTGTTCTGGGGATCTTTGCCTGTCCACCCCTGGTTGTCCCAGTTGGACGGTTTCCTGGGTTGAGTGCTTTTCTCTTGTGTGCACACCATGCATGGGTTTACAGGTGCACAAGGCTGGCTGAGCAAGGGTGTTTCTTGCATCTTTATATAGTATCTGAGAAAATAGAGGCCCAGAGTTATTTTACATCCTGCTCCAAGTGACACTGGGCAGGTCTTGTCTCTAAAGACCTCAGTCATGACAGGTGACCTGATGAGCCATGGAGTCCTAACTGTTCTCTAGCAATGGAAATGCTGCTTTCTCCCTGGAGATGGGAGCTCACGTGTAGGCCCAAGAGCAGGTGGCCTTGAGGGCTGGGTTGTGGGAGGCCTCAGGATTTGGGGGTGCTGGAAGCCAGGTCAGATAGACCCTCAGTGCTGCCTCCTCTCCCCTAGGAATTCGACCACCACTGCAGGTGGGTAAACAACTGTGAGGGACACCGCAACATCAGGCTCTACCTGCTGCTCCTCCTCTCATTGTGCCTCTACCTGGTGCCGGGCTGGCTAGCTGTGTGGTATTCCTGGTACACAGGAGGAACATGCCCTTCATGGACTGAGCCATGATGTATCCACGCAGTCCCAAGAGCCCACACTGGGAACAGCTCTGGTGGAGGGGAGGGAGGGGTGGTCAGCCAAGGGGCTGGGTAA